CCAGTCTCAGAAAGCTTGGTCTCAGTCTCAGGTCATGGTGCTCCAGAACAATAATGTACCAAAACACAGAGCTAAAAACACCCAAGAACAGCTGAGAACGTTGGTTACGTACTGTAACCCCAGATTCTATGAGTATAGGCATAGCCATTTAAGGCTGTCGCTAGTGGGTTTTTCCCTACGTGCACAGCGCAGCACTGAAAACATTAGTCCACGCCCACCTGATGTGTGGGCCTCACCCCAGGTCCGTATAAATTACGGTGAGACCAGGTAATCGGCTCCCAAATAGCTATTTTCTTCAGCCATTTAGGAACCAGTGAGGCCCAGAGCATAAAGGGCTACGCCTATACTTATAGAATCTGGGGTTACAGTACGTAACCAACGTTCTATTACATATAGGCTTCGCCCTTTAAGGCTGTCGCTAGTGGGTTAAAGGCGAAGCAGGATGTAGTCTATGCCTCACTTGGTCCATGTTACGACCGGCTCAGACCGAACATATTTAAAAGGGACACAGGACACCAAAAGAAGGTTTAAAAATAAAACTTTATTGAATCCTAAGTTTTATAAATCACTCCGGGCAGCAGGCGAAGTCTTCGTGGGCTCCTCCCTCCTGGACTGGAGAGCACCTTCTTCAGGACCCGTGTAGTGAACTAAGCCTAAGGTCAGGATTTGACCTTAAGGATCATATGGGACAGAACTTGTCATTTCATTGATTTGCATCCAGAAATACAGGTTGACCCATCCTGAGACTTTCTTTCTTGAAAATTCAAGTGAAAGAACACTCTCGTTTTTATTATCATTACTATTTTACAAATGTTTGATAATCAAAGTGTTTTAGTTCAAACCATGTTAGATGCTGCAGTGAACTAATCATTTTAATTAACTGTGAAACAGTAATAATGATTTTAATCCTCATGCAAAGTTAGAATTCATGTTAAGGTCTGTTACAGAGTAATTATGCATTTTCTGATTTTCTGTCTTTGAATGAGCAAGTGTAAGTGGTCCAAGGTTGGAGTCAAACGCAGACAAATGTTGGAACGAACTGTCTTGTTTTTACATCCTCTCAGACGTAAATAGAGAAGCTGGCACCTGTTGGCACCTGTTTTCCGCCAACTCGTCTAAATATCCCTCTCGTCTGTCTAAAAACATTTTCAATCTGTTCCATAACATTCTTGCTGTTTTTCTGACTTCTAGTAACCTCTTACGTCACAAAACACACCCGTCTGGTCGATATTGACCAATCAGAAACTCCCAAATAAACCGGAAATAGAACTCTTTAAAATGTCGGTACTTCCTAGTTCAAGCCTGTCGAGTCGAGAGTTGAACAGTGTCGAGGGTCGTGTTTGGAGTCGTTGCAGCTCCCGTGCTGGGAAACAGGAAGATCCTGACATGACCACAGAGCTCTTCCGAGTCTTATGGGATTATAACATCTTCCACCTCTGAGTGGAACTCTGACGGACTCCACTCATGTGAAGTCCACTTGTGAGGTGAACTTGTGTCGAACAAGCACCGTCACTACTTCAGACGATTCACAGCTGTTCCTACGGAGACGCTGAAAGGGTGCGTTGAATGGACTTTCGTACCGGTGGAGACATCTCCAGGTAAAAGAGTTGATTCTATCACCTAAGTGTACTGGGGAAGAAGCTGAGAAAACCCGGAGAGTGCCGTCCTGATGCTGACACAAACATTCTCCCTCACCCATCCTTTTTCTCCCTTTAAACTTCATCTTTCCATCTTTAAAATTCTTCTATCAAGTAGAAATCATTCCAGATATTTTAGAAATGTCTGTGTAAAGTTCTCATCCACCGCCGTGTGGATAATCAAAATTGTACAGTTTGCTAAAACTAGCCATGTTGTTATTTTCCATATTTTGCCAATTAATGTAAATGTGTGATGTGTTAAACTTTGATTCTGTTAATAAATGACCGCATTCATTTTGATGGGTCAAAGATAATTAACGTCTCACGTTACATTTCTAAATTCAATGCACATTATATACAGTCCAGAAAAATGAAAGAATCCGTTTAATTTATGAATATATCTCATGCATATGTTCCTCTACATCTGGTGGCCCGTATACGTTCATAAATGGACTGTGTATTCGTGTAAAATTGATATCATGTTGGCATGAACAATTGCAGATTTTGCTGTGATGGAACGCAGCGCAGCTGGGACGCTTGGAGTAAACGCAGCGTGTTGAGCTGCGATGCTCAGAGAAAGCTTACAGAAATGTTAGAAGCTAGTGGTGTTTTGAAAGCTGAAATTGTGAGTCAACGTGTCTGTTTGAAAGCTGAAATTGTACGTCTGTTTTGTGTGACAAATTTGCTGAGCTGTGGAAACGCTTTATTCTGTTTAAACTGTGTTCCAGACGCTGTTCTGGTACGGCTCGGTTCTGAAAAGTTCGACCGAGTTGTTTTAAATGGTTGGAAAGACGTTTTTAAGACCGGGGCGCCGACTCCGTGCAGCTCAGAGCTTGATTCGTTACATTTTTAACAGAAAATGGTGCATTTTGACAGTTTAAAAGACGAAAAGTTGACGGACTAGTTCAGGCTAATGCTACACGCTAGCTAGAAAAACGATCTGTGAATGGTTGAAAACGGCCGTGTGTAACGTTTTGATTGGCTGAGAGACGTGTCAGGTCGTAAAGCCCACCCCCGTGCTGCTCTGTCATTGGTAGATTCAGTCACGTGACCCGGAAATGAAAACTCGTTTTCATAGGGAATTTCAATCTGTTTTTAAAGTTGAAAAACGCTTTAAAGTTGATTCTGATCCGCTGCTCAGTTCCTTTGATGCCTAATCGCTGAAATTTTGCCACGTTTGAGGTTGAAATCCGTCACTAAATGGTGTTTTTGGACCACGCTAGCCGATGCTAATTTTAAGCTAGCAGCTAACGACCGGATGAGTGACGTGTCGCGTCACTTCCTCTGAAGTCAGATTGTAAAGCTTGGTTGCACCGAAGTTTTCTGTGCTTAAAATCACTAATTAAAACTTGCCACATGTCCCCAAAAAACTCATGTTCATGCTAAGAAGTCGTGCTTGTTGAAACAACGCCACGTTTTAGCTTTAAATCCGTTCAGAAATGTTGATTTAACCGAGTTTAGCCGAAGCTAATTTTAAGCTAAGCGGCTAACGACAGGATGTCAACAGAACGTCCACAGGACGTTGTCATACGCTCCTGCTGGTAGAAAGCTAACACCGCCACCTGCTGGGAAAGAGGAGTATAACAGTTTTCTGAAGAAAGACTGAAACTCCTCAAAACATTTTTTTTTCTTTTTCTGTTCACCACCTGGTTCTATGAGTAGC